ATCAATAACTTGCATCCTTAAGGAGTTAACTTAATTTATATCTACTCATATTCATGTAATTAAGCGTTTTAATGATTTGGCCGATTAATCGATTAATCAAAAATTAATCAACAGATTAATCGATTATTAAAATAATTGTTAGTTGCAGCCCTAAACAACACATATCTAATTTTCTGTTCAGTTATAATGAGCTGAATGTTTCTGCTTTTCAACAGAAGCCATGTTGGATGTTCATGTTAACACGGGGTGAACAAAGATTTACAGACACACAGACAGGAAACAGACAGACAGGAGGAGGATGATGCTCTGCTAACCCCTCACCTACATCATCTCCTCCCAGCACGGCTCTCTGCAGGCCCACATCCCTGCGCTCTGCCCAGCTGTCACCTCCGGCATCGCTCCACCGAGCAGACACACGTAGGCGCGGAGCCGACCCACCCCCCCCTCTTCCTCCGGCACATTTGAGCCGGCGAGCGGCGGCACGAGCAGGCGGTGAGGGAGCCGCTGCTGCAGAAGCTCGGACCGGACGGTCTCAACCGACAGAGTAAGTCGTGTATATTTATTATTTTGTATGTCTCAAGCAACTTGGAGGTAATTTTCTGGTCGGAGGACAGCCTGTAGTTGGAATCTGTTTTCTTTTCCGTGGTGAATCTGGGGGGAGGGAAGTAGTTTTTGCTGCCGGGCGGAGATCAGTGAGGTGGTTACAGGGCGATAAACGCACCATTTTCGATGGTTATTTTCCTGAAAATGCATAATTAAACTAAACAAACACGGAGCAGCTGTATTCATTCATACTTTTGTGGATTTAGATGAGTCCCTGATGTTAATTTCAGTCTCAGTCGTCGTGTGCACCGATCCGAAGCCCACAGAGGATTTACACTTATTGCAATAACGTGACTGCACGAAATGGCCTTATTTAAAACCCTGTTTTTGTATAAATTATTAAGGTTGTTTACACTCGATGCCGTTTCTCTTATTTATGTTGTGTAAACCATCTTAAACATTATTGAAAAATTTCGGCGTGCTTAAACGTGACTTCAGTCTTTTTAAATTAGGTTATTTTCAGCTGTTTTCCCCGRTTCAGCTCCGAGCCTCTCGGCGAAGCTCGTGTCAGAACACGTTGTTGAACCGGGGGTGTGTGCCAGAGAAACCACGGCTCAGCCAATCAGCGCTCACGTTCCGCCCACACGGCCTCGCTTGTTTACTACCAATGTCGAACGCTGATTGGCGGAGAGCTGGGGGCCAGCGCTGAGCGCTGATTGGCGGAGAGCTGGGGGCCAACGCTGAGCGCTGATTGGCGGAGAGCTGGGGGCCAACGCTGAGCGCTGATTGGTGGAGAGCTGCGGGGGAAACCAGGCTTTGTGCTGCATTTGGGTGCGTGGAAAAGAACTGGACAAAACATGTGCTGCCAAGGAGTAAACAATGTACTGTATACAAATGATTAATGAGAACAGTTTTACWACATATTAAACTGCTTTATTGTTTTTTTTATTAACAATTTATTTCAAACATGGAAAACAAAATAAAACAATGATAAAAAATGATAATAATGAAATTAACATATTTGAAAAGGAATGGGAAGAAGTAAAAAAAAAACTTATTTAAGCCCACCCTTCTCCATGGCTTATTAAATAATAATAATAATAATAATTAATTCTTCTTTTTTCTTATTCAAAATCACAATTTCATGAAGATTTAAACAACAATCTGTTTACCTACTAAATTATATAGTACAGAAAATATTTATAAAGATAAACAAATATTTATATGCAGCACATACGCATTCATATTGTTGAAAAAACATAATTTTTGGGTACCTTCAAACTGTTAATGTAATGATTTGAAACAATAAATCATGAGCTGTCTTGTGCAGCACAGTCTCACTTTGCGTCCTTCAAGGTTATTTTTCGTTGATTATTCCTACTTGGACTGAATGCAGCAGTGTTGCCCTGGTTTCAGGCCAAACCTCAGATTCTGCTTGTGGAACGTGTTATCAGTCACATGCTTCAGTGGTGAAAACAACCAAACCTCATCAAGATCTGGTTCATTCATTAACTAAATCTACTCAAGTTTGTGTTCATTTAATTCCTTCAATCATTTTCAAACCACCAGAGTTGTTGTTTCTCTTAGTTGATTTTGATTGTGGTGGCCCTTTTGAATTGAATTGACTTTAAAAGTTACACAGAGACATGGGCAAAATTGTTATTGTCTGCCTTTTCCTTTTCTCTAATAACTGCAACCACCTGTACATAATATTCAGCTCATATAAACAGTGAGTTTAAAAAAACAAACACTGGACTTCCTGAAAAGCAATCAGTTGCTTTTATTTGTTGAAATGTGTTCCAGGTGTCTCCTCTGCAGCGGCGTGAGACGCTGTGCTCAGTCCCCTCACTGTGTGCAACAGCACCACGGCAGCTATGGGACCAGAGGACAGGACTGGGACAGGGTCGGGCGGGACCGTGTCCTGCCGGCTGGGACAACAGGACCATGTGTCTGCAGCGACTCACGGCAGCAGCGAGGTTGATGTGCAGCCGATTCTGGTGAGAACACAAAACTTCCACTGAGTTTAGACTGAGAGGATAAAAACATGTTGTTTCTGTCAGTCCGTTTTCTTCCACTTATCCGGGGTCGGGTCTCGGGGGCCGCAGCCTAAGCAGAGAGACCCAGACTTCCCTCTACCCAGCCACTTGGGCCAGCTCATCCGTTGGAATCCCAAGGCGTTCCCAGACCAGCCGAGAAACATAGTCCCTCCAGCGTGTCCTGGGTCTTCCTCTGGGCCTCCTCACCAGGGAGGCGTCCAGGAGGCATCCAAACCAGATGAACCACCTCAACTGGCTCCTCTCGACGTGGAGGAGCAGCGGCTCTACTCTGAGTCCCTCCCAGATGACTGAGCTTCTCACCCTATCTCTAAGGGCAGCCACCCTGTGAAGGAAACTCATTTTGGCCTCCTGTATCC